CAACCACTGTGGAAATCAGTGTGGAGATTCTTCAAAAAAACTCCCTAAAACCAGAGGTTCCATTTCACGTAGCTATTCCCTTTCTTGGTATCTTCCCCAAAGAATTAAATGCATCTTACCTCAGCAATATATGCACACCCATGTTTATAGCAGCACAGTCTGAAATAGCTAAATCTTGGAAACAGCCCTAATGCCCATCAACTGACGAGTGGATAAAGAAGATGTGGGGTTTTTTTTTAATACAATGGAGTACTACTCTGCCATAAAGAAGGATGAGCCTCAGACATTTATAGCTAAATGGATGCACCTTGAGACCAAACTCTTAAGTGAAATGAACCAGACACAGATGTTTAAATACCACATTGTTTCTCTGGTGTGAGAAACTGAAACTGGAAATAAGGACTGAAATGTATAATAGAGATTGGGAAATGGGAAGAAAGTGTTCAAATGGGAAGGGGAACAATGGAGGGAGGAGGGAGAAAGGAAGGGACAAGAAAAAAAGGGAAAATGGAAACAAAGCTTTGTACATACAGAGGAGAGGGGGCTTGAAGGGAGGGGAGAATGAGAAAAACAGGGCCGGATACACCATGTACAATGCAAATTCCCTATGATGAGTGTTATCCTTATGTAGGCCTAGAATGTACCAATAAAGGTTTTGCTATTAAGAAAAGCACTGAGATTCCACTTCTCTCCAGAAAGCAGTTGTCATGGTGTGTCTGGATGTCCCCAAATCCTCATGTGCTCAAACTGGGGCTTTTCAGAGCTGGCTGGATCTAGGGTATGTGATACTAGGGTTAAGGGTGTGTGGTGCTAAATCAGTTCACTGATTGCCATTAGCATGGTGCTGGGTGCAGCTCAATGGATTTACTGAGGACAAAAGCCCCACCCTGGGTGTGGGTGGCACCACCCAAAAGGTGGTAGCCTGGGTGGGATAAAAGGGAAAGGTAGGCTGCTGCTGCTCACTGCCTCCTGCCATCATGCCATGGACCGTTTGTCCTCTGCTGTGCTGCCTGCCTTGGAGCCAGCTGACTATGGACTGAAACCTCTACACACTGTGAGCTAAATAAACCTTTCCTCCTTCAACTTATGGGCGTCAGGTATTTGGTCCCAGTGATAAGAAAAGTAACTAAGACACGTGGCTATCATCAAGAAATCAAATAAATGTTGGTGAGGCTTAGAGGAAATAGGAAGCCTTCCACATTGTTGGTGGGAGTGTAAACTGGTACAATCACTGTGGGAAACAGTGTGAAGATTCCTCAGAATCTAAAACTAGAAATTCTATTTGACCTAGCTATTCACCTACTATTGTTCCCCAAAAATTAAAGGCATGATTTTACAGTGATACATGCATATCCCTGTTCATAACAGCATAATTCATAATAGCTAAATCTTGGAAACAGTCTAAGTGTGCATCAACAGATGACTGGATACAGAAAATGTGGTGTTTATACACAACGGAGTACTACGCTGCTATAAAGAAGGATAAACTTGAGTCACTTGTAAGAAAATAGGTGAAGCTTGAGACCCTAATGTTAAGTGAATAAATCAGACACACAGGTTAAATATTGCATGTTTTCTCTTATATAGAGAGAGCAAAATAAAAGATAAATAATAGGAAACAGACCTTCTGCAAAAGGGAAGAAGACTAAAAGAAGGAAGAGGGGAGGGAAGGGAAATAAGAAGCATGGGGCTGTGTCCTGTCCACCACCAGCTCCTACAGGAGAGTGATCCTCGGGCACTGCAGACAGGGACCGACAAAGACAAATCTGAAAATCCGGAGGAACCGCCATTCGCAAACTCCTCAAACGCCCCCATGTCTGAGTGCCCATCTGCTGACCTCTGCGTGCCTCGGACGCAGGACGGGCGAGCGCAGGCAGCGGGCATGGCCCGGGACGCGAGGCCCAGCAGCTGGGCAGCTCCCTCGCTCAGGGAGGCCTCCGCCCCACACCCGGCAAGGCCGCGGCCCTCCCTCGCGACCCGGTGGCTGGGCGCCACTCCTTGCTGGTTCTCAGCCCCCGAGGCCCTGCTCCTGGGAGAACGCTCCCTCCGGCCACGGCTGGGCACCGCTTGACCTCGCGGCCGAGTAGGGAGTCCTGGACGTTGCCGAGAGTCCAGACCAGGCCTCCCGCAGGGCTGTGTCCCCAGTGAGCTCGCTGGGCTCTCGGGGAACACTGTTCAACATCAGAAGTCACTCGTCATACATGCCTGTATCTGCAACTGCCCAGGAGGAGGCTGAGGCAGGAGGATCGTGTGGTTGAGGCCAGTCTGCGCAACCTGGTGAGACCTTTTTTCAAAGTAAAATTTAAAAAGCCCTGGGATGTAGCTTGACACTGACACGCCATGGATTCCACCCCCGGAGTCTCACACGCACGCGCACACACGTGCCCACACACACGCTATTTTTTCTAATTATAAAAAGCAGGAGCCACTTGCGTAGGGAAGCTGAGGACCTGGGGAAACCTAGAGAGCAGAAGTGCCCGCTTGCCCCGTAATCACCCTCCCTGGCAGTCACCTGTCCTTTAGCCCTGCTGTCTGTCCCCTCGGTGAGGTCAGCGTGCTGGACAGCGCCCGGGATCAGCTGACCCAGCCCAGGTCGAGCCTGCGCCCGGCTTGTTCGCTGAGCGACTCCCAGACTGCGCTGCTCAGCAAGACCCAGGCGGTGGGCGCTGCTCTGGCCCAGAATCCAGGACTGCACACAGACAAACCCAGTCTTGCAGACAGACGTCCTCAAAAACAACAGACGGGCAGAAATTTTCATCCAAAACGCGGAACTGGGGGTGGGGGCGCCGCCTTGATGCCAGCACTCTGGGAGGCTGAGGCAGTAGGATCGCAAGTTTAAGCCCCGCCTGGCAATTTTTTTTTGGTACCGGGGATCGAACTCGGGACCTTGCGCTGGCGAGGCAGGCGGTGGAACCACTGAGCTACATCCCCGACCCTCAGCCTGGCAACTTCGTCTTTGCGAGACCCTGTCTCAAAATGAAAAATAAAAAAGGACAGGGGTGGAGCTCAGCGAGGAGGCTTCGGGTTCAGAGAAAGGAAACGGTGGTGGGGCCGGGCCACCGGGGGGAGCAGAGACCCTGGGGAGCGAGCTTGCGTCTGGACGCCGGGACCCGCCTGCGGCCGGCCCCCTGGGAGGACCGAGTCAGCCTCGTCTAGCTGGGGCGAGCCGGTTCTGGGCGCAGGACGCGCTGCCCTCCCTAAGCGCCCGGCCCGCGCGGTGGCCCAGGTCGCCCACGGCCCAAGACCTCGGGGCCTCCGGCACGCGGCTTCAAAGGCCTGAAAATAACTCACCCCCCGGCCCCGCGCCCCGCTGGCGGCGTAGATGGAGCGCGCGTCAGGACGGGTGGGGGCAGCGGGCGACGCGACGGCCACGCACCGGAACCGGAAGCTGCAGCAGGAAGAGGGAGGGGGCCCAGATTCGTTTTCTGCTTGGTCTCGCCTGTTTCCCCTCGCGCTGTTTTCGGGGCGCTGCCTCCATTTCGCAGCTCTACCTATTTTCTTTTTAGTTTTTCTGAGACAGGGTCTCCCCTGCAGTCCAGTGGACTAGAACTCCTGGCAGTCCTCCTGCCTCGGCCTCCTGAGAGCTGGGATTACAGGCGTGTGCCACCACACCCAGCACCCACCTCTACCTTTGAGGGGTTCCCTCACTCTCAGGTTTAAGGGTTAGAATAAGGTTGTATATTCATTGCAAGATATTGAAACAAACATTTTGAAAGGTGAGAGTCAGTGCAGCCCACCGCCACAGGAGGCTGAGGGGAGAAGTCGCTGGAGCCCGGGTTTCTGGGAGCCGGGCCACGTGGGAGACCCGGCCCCAGCCCGCACAGTTCCAACTCTGGAGTCAGATGAGCACCACCCAGCTGTGGAAAGGGCTCCTGGGACCCCAGCGCCGCCCCGCGTCTCAGGCTCCGCCTCCCACTGGCTCCCACTGTTTCGAGCTGCGTGTGAGTGGAAACGCAGCGCTTCTATGTCTTCCCTTCCACCCTCCACACGGCAATCGGTGTGTTGGTTTCCGTCCTTGATTTTCGGAGCTGTCTGCTATAAAATTCTTAGAAGAAAACAGGAGAAAATCTCAGCAACCTGGGGGCAGGCAAAAAATGTCTTAGAACATGGAAAATGTACTGGCCAGAGTGGAAAACATTTGTAAGCTGGTATTCATCAAAATTTTTAAATTTAGGGCCGGGGATTTAGTTCAGTGGTTCCGCCGCCTGCCTCGAAAGCACAAGGTCTGGAGTTCAATCCCCAGTACAAAAAAAATTTCTTGGAAAGACCACTGTTAACAAAGCGAAGGCGAGTCATGTTTTCAGTACCTGTCTGGGGAGGCAAGATACAGAGAATTCTTCCAAATGGGCCCCAAGAGCAGTGACTCAAACCAAAGCTCCGAACGGGATGCAGGGTGGCCAACAAGTACACACACAGTCACTCGGCAGCATCCACAGGCCTTGCAACAAGGCCCCCATGGAGACGGATCCAAGGGTTGTGGAATGGTGCAGACACTGGGACTCCCACAGAGGCCGCAGAAGCCCTGTGCTCCTTCAAGATAAACGAAGGTGCCTTCCGCACACAGACTCGCACACTGTGTTCATGGTAGCTGTGCTCCTGGTAACCAGCATCTGGAAATCCCTGAGTCATCCATGGACAAGCCGGGAGTGGTGGTGCACCTGTAATCCCAACACTTGGGAGGCTGAGGCAGGAGGATCACTGTGAGCTCAAGGCCAGCCTGAACTACACAGGGAGACCTTGTCTCAAAGAAGCAGAATCCAAAAATCAAAACAAAATATCTGTCAAAAGGCAGATAAATCCCATGCAGCTTCGTGGTGCAACAGAATATTCATGGTAAAGGGGTAGAACTGACTGGCACCATGGATCACTCTGACATACATGGGGGCACACAGGGTGAGTCCAAGGTCCATAAAAGGGGCTGGGGCCATGGCTCAGGGGGTTTGATCCTTCTCCCTGCAAAAAAAAAAAAAAATGTACACTGTACTCATGAGCAGTCAGGGCTGAGCCAAGAGGATCGCAAGCTGGAGGCCAGCCTGAGGAACTCAGCAAGACCCTGTGTCAAAACGAAATTAAAAAGGGTTGGTGAAGCTGGGTGTGGTAGCGCACACCTGTGATCCCAGTATTTAAGAGGCTGAGGCAGAAGGATCATAGCAGTTATGAGGCCAGCCTGGGCTACATAGTGAGTTCAAGGCCAGCCTGAACTACATAGCGAGACCCTGTTTCAAAAAACCAATAATGGGGCCAGGGATTTAGCCCAGTGTTTCTGCCACCTGCCTCGAAAGCACAAGGTCCCGAGTTCGATCCCCAGTACCAATAAGTAAATAAATAAAAGGCTGGTGAATGTAGCTCAGTGAGAGAACAGTTGCCTAGCACTCGTGAGGCCCTGGGTTCAATTCTGTGCATGCATGCACATGTGTGTGGAAAAGGCAGGTGAATGGCTGTGTAAAGCAGATGTACCAGAATTTATGGATGAAATCTAGTGGTGAGAATATATGTGCTCACTGTGAAATTCTCTCCACTTTGCTTTATGCCTGGATGTTTTTACAGTACCATATTTGGGCTGTAAACATTGCACCGAGTGAAGGAATGCACACTCGGTTTATCTGTGCAGACCTGGAGTCCTCTGCACAACCCAAGACTCGGGTGTTGGGACAGCTATCCGAGTCCCTGAGCTCACACTTAGCCGTGTGCCCGGTTTACACGGATGACACAGCCGGCCCTGATGGAGGAGCGAGGCCGACAGGGCAGGTGGGCGCCCTCGCTGCAGCGCGGACGCAACCCCAGCCCCTGGGCTGCTGGCCATGCTGTTCCCCTCCAGGGTACCTTGGGCGGCGCCAACTGCCTTTGCTCAGTTTTTATTTTTATTAGTCCGTGTCTGCGGTTCACAAAGATCACACTCCCTGTGTGCAGTTCATGCCTCCATGTAACACATCTTCACGCCCTCAGCCCTCCTCCCATCTCTTGACCCTCTTCCCGGTGAGAAAGATCTCTCTCCCTGCTTTATATTGTCTATTTTTTGTTTTGCTCTTTATTTTTACTCTGGGTTTCTCATATAAGAGAAATCATGATGTTTAAGCTGTGTGTCTGGTTTATTTCACTTAACATTATGGTCTCAAGGTGCATCCATTTTCCTCCAAATGACTCAAGTTTATCCTTCTTTGTGGCAGAGTAGTGCTCCATTGTGTGTAATGCCACATTTTCTTTACCCATCCATCATTGATGGACATGCAGGCTGCTTCCAAAATCAATTATGAATTGTGCTGTTATAAACAGCAGTATGCATGGATCACTGTAATGTGAAACCTATAACTCTTTTGGGAAGATACTAGAAGGGGAATAGCTGAGTCAAATGGAATTTCTTGTTTTAGTTTTTTGAAGAATCTCCACACTGACTTTCATAGAGGTTGCACAGTTTACATTCTCAGGAACAATGTACAGGGGTTTGTTTTTCCCTGCAACCTCACTGACATCTGTTACTATCTGATTTCTTGATCATAGCCGTTCTTTCTGGAGTAAGATGGAACCTCAGTGTTATTTTGATTTGCATTTTTCTAATGGCCAAAGATAATGAGCATTTTTTTCATGTATTTATTAGCCATTTATACTTCTGAAAAATGCTGTATCTACATCAGTTGTCCATGTTTTGATTGATCCTTTTATTTTGGGGAGTCTAATTTTTTTAGTTCTTTATATATTCTAGATAGTAGTCCTCTGAGGAGTAGCTAGAAAAAAACTGTTCCCATTCTGTAGGTTGTCTCTTCACTCTGTAGGTTTCCTTTGCTATGCAGAAGCTTTTTAATTTGATGTGATCCCATTTGTTGAATCTTGGTACTATTTTCCGTGCCACCAGGGTTTGTTCAGAAAGTTCTTGCCTACACCTATGTCTTCTAGAGTTTTATCTATTTTACCTTACCTTCCAGCAGATTGTTTCTATTTTAACATTTTTTTTAAGGAGGAAAGGTTTATTTTAGCTCACAGTTTGTAGAGGTTTCAGTGCATAGTCAGCTGGCTCCAAGGCAGGGTGGCACGTGGCAGAGGAGAAACAGTCCATGGCAGGGCAGGCAGGAGGCAGCAGGCAGTAAGCAGGGAGCCTGCCTTCTTTTCCTCTTATATTCCACCCAGGATATAAGCCTGTTGGGTGGTGCCACCCACACTAAGGATGGGGTTTCCCATTACCCACAGCCAGAACTATGCTAAACCAATCAGTAGACTAGTTTAGTTATCACATACCCTTAATCCATATTCTCAGACCCTAGATCCAGTCTCCCCTGGAAAGCCCCACCTATAAGTGCATGAAGCTTCGGGGGACATCTAGATATGCGCCATAACATCTATCATTTCTGATCTGACCTTTAATTCTGGGGTATGTAGGGGCAATTTCCTGTCAAAATCTGAGGAGAAATAATCATCACCATTCAAACTCAGGACCTCAAGCTTGCCAGGCAGGCACTAAATCGCTGAGCTACATCCCCACCCCCACCATTCATTTTAATACAGTACAAGAGACCAGGCATAATGAGAGGTATAAAAAATATCATCGGAAGAAATAAAACAGCTTCTTCTTCTTCTTCTTTTTTTTTTTTTGGTACTAGGGATCGTACTCGGAACCTTGCGCTTACAAGGCAAGAGGCGGAACCACTGAGCTAAATCCCCAGCCCCATAACAGCTTCTTTTCAAGAAAGACTGATAATACCAAGACTGACAAAATAAATAGTCACAATTTTAGAACAATATTTCAGCACATTTTCCAATTACATTATTAACTTTAAAAATCAACAGAATTCCTCAACACCGGTAATAGACATATAAAAAGGGTAAGAACCTCTCAATAATTATATCTAATAATATATCTAGGAATTAACTAAGAAAATGAAGATCTTTGGAAAAAACTTCAAACCTTGAATACGAAAGGAAATAGAAGGCCAGGATGTAGCTCGGTACATAGCACCTGCCTGGCAAGCGTGAGGTCCTGAGTTCGATCCCCAGTACCAAAATAAAAGGGAAATAGAAAATGTTTTTAACAAAGGCATTTGGAAAGAAGTGACAGGAAAACAAAGAAAAATGGAAACATATTTTTTTAAATAAGGAGGGGGGAGGATGTGTTGAAGGGGGGAATAGAAAAAAAGAAGCAGCAAGGTGTATCATGTATGGGTGCAAATTCCCTATGCTGAGTGTTATCATTATGTATATCTAAAATGTACCAATAAATGTTTTTGTAAAAAATTTAAAATAAAAACAAAATGTACCAATAAATGTTTTGCTTCAAAAAATAAAAAATAAAGGCA